TTGCAGGTTGATAGTGTTTTTGTTCAAGTCTTATTCTCACTTTCCTTGTCCATTAGCTGTGTAATTGTTCTCATCCATCAAGCTTTTTCTTCTCACACAGCACTTTTACCTTTGAAATGGATGGTGGTAATTAAAACATAGACCAAGAGTTTAAGACAGATGAAAGCAGCTTTTTAATTAGTTATCAGCTTTTACTTTCACCATAAAAATGACGATTCCTGGAAAAGTATTTTTAAAAAATATCCTATAGTTAAAGCACTGAAAAGATGAAGGGTAAAGCAATATGAAATGTCATGACTCACAAAAAGTAATTTTTCAAAAGAAGGGTTTAAAAGTGTTTTCAGTGATGGCAGGGTTTGAAACTTTCATCTCTTCAGTCATAACAAAGGAATCCTTTCAGATCCGTTTGTACCAGTTTTAACCTCAAAACAAAAAGGAACGAGTCATCGTGGAGACTCGTGCTGAGAGAGGAGGCAGATCTGATTAATAACTTTGGGTTAGAAATCTCTGGGCTTAATTAATAATATTTGAAATCAATTCTGCAGGGAACAAACAATCTGTGCAAAATGCATTCATTGCCTCATACTTTTAGATTAGCTGAAGGCCTTAGAGAGATGTTTTAATGATGCCAAAGAACAAATTACCTCAGACTACCTACAATTTAGCCTGTGACATACACCATGTAAGGCTTTACCTGCTTTAGATGCTTTGGTTTGTTTCTACAGCGTGACAGAAATAAAAAACATCAGCTTAAACCAGCTCAAAAGCAAACAAACACAAACTAAATTACAGTGCATTATATGACTACTGTACTTATATGTACTTACAGGGATGGCTACAGTGTCCTGATCTTGTCAAACCAAGATCAGTGATTGGTTGTCAGGTTGGCACATTTTTAACTCACTCACACTTCAATTCAATTCAATTCAATTTTATTTATATAGCGCCAAATCACAACAAAAGTCGCCTCAAGGCGCTTCATAGATACAGAGAAAAACCCAACAATCATATGACCCCCTATGAGCAGCACTTTGGCGACAGTGGGAAGGAAAAACTCCCTTTTAACAGGAAGAAACCTCCAGCAGAACCAGGCTCAGGGAGGGGCGGGGCCATCTGCTGTGATTGGTTGGGGTGAGAGAAGGAAGACAGGATAAAGACATGCTGTGGAAGAGAGACAGAGGTTAATAACAGATATGATTCAACACAGAGAGGTCTGTTAACACATAGTGAGTGAGAAAGGTGACTGGAAAGGAAAAACTCAATGCATCATGGGAATCCCCCGGCAGCCTACGTCTATTGCAGCATAACTAAGGGAGGATTCAGGGTCACCTGGTCCAGCCCTAACTATATGCTTTAGCAAAAAGGAAAGTTTGATGCCTAATCTTAAAAGTAGAGATAGTGTCTGTCTCCTGAATCCAAACTGGAAGCTGGTTCCACAGAAGAGGGGCCTGAAAACTGAAGGCTCTGCCTCCCATTCTACTTTTAAATACTCTAGGAACAACAAGTAGGCCTGCAGAGCGGGAGCGAAGTGCTCTAATAGGGTGATATGGTACTACAAGGTCATTAAGATAAGATGGGGCCTGATTATTTAAGACCTTGTATGTGAGGAGCAGGATTTTGAATTCTGGATTTAACAGGAAGCCAAAACAGGAGAAATCTGCTCTCTCTTTCTAGTCCCTGTCAGGACTCTTGCTGCAGCATTTTGGATTAACTGAAGGCTTTTCAGGGAGTTTTTAGGACTTCCTGATAATAATGAATTACAGTCGTCCAGCCTGGAAGTAATAAATAAATGAAATTATTTTTCAGCATCACTCTGACTTTAGCAATACTGCAAAAATTAAAGAAAGCAGTCCCGCATATTTGTTTAATATACATGTTGAAAGATAAAGGATTCATTTAAACTATGAATCATGTAGAGCTACTCTAGAAAAACACTCGATGAATCTGCTTTGAGTTACAGTTCGTACACACTAATTGAGCCAATGTTATTCAGGCGAAGGTTTCAGCAAGTGGTCAACTGGGTTTTAGTGAAGTCTTTAGACACATCAGCCCAGATTTAACTCGACACGTATTCTCAGCAGAGTATAAACTGTTCCCCATTCAACTTGCTCCTAAATGCTTGCTGTGTACTACAGTCTGATGCTCACAGTAATGAAGCTGCTACAGAGCATTACCGAGAGACGTGTCATTACCCAGCCTGCAGGGAGCACACACACCATCAGGCTCATCAGTGTTTACATCCCTTCATTGGCGTCAGGACACGACAGAGGTGAACCGAGGGTCGAATCGATTTCCTGTCCACCTCCCTTTCCTCCACAAACACAGCGAAATGTTCAGCGCCGCCTCTGCAGAGTCCATCTTACCCTGTGTCTGTCTTAATGCTGCGCGTGTCTCTGTGTGTTTTCTATTTTTAGCTGTCGGGCTGCAGATGTCCTTGGATTGGCTGGAAAAGCGGTTCTGGGCCATCGCCAAGCAGGTGACCGCAGGACTCACTTTCACACAAACACACATTGTCTGATTTCTTTCATTTTTGGGGTCATTTCATTGACCCGTGTTTATTGTCTAGAGGTTGACAGGAAGTTTAAGTGACTTTTCCCTTAAAAGGTGGCCTGAAGCTGACTACAGAAACACAAACCAGTTAAAGGTGTTGGTGGAGATTGTGTTTTAAGTGTACCTTTATGGGCCATCACAGCCAGGCATTTGCTCACTTACCAAAACCTTTGAAATGTTTCTAATTCCTTATTTTGTAACCGTTGCTGTTTGCATGTAGAGATTTTCTCTCATAATCTCTCAGTTAGGGATCACCATATGAATTTGTCAGAATAATGTGACAGGCAGCAGCATCTGTTCAAATCAAGCACTTTAAGTTACGAGTTAATTTCAAACCAAATGCAGGGTCCGCTTAGAGAGGCCATCCACCTTGCAGTGGTTCTTCCGAGCAGAAATAGAAACTGCAACAGTTCAAGATACTGGATTTGATGTCTGTCAGACTGCAGGATGACAAATGCCACACCGGGGCTGAGGATTTCTTAATATCAGAGATGGAACTTTCAAAATAAGAGCATGGAGGACAGCAGAGCGTATTGGAGGAGTGAAAAAGACAAAGAAAAAAGACACTAAAATCA